TGATGTAAGGAGAATTTCTACATAAAGATCAATGCCGGTGAAATTGGTAAAGCAGCATAAATTATTCTAGACTTCAGATGGAATAGCTATATCTTTTTTCTTCCTTGTTTAATTCTTTTCTTCCCCTTCATACGTTTCAATGGAAGCTTTGCAAGTAGTAGGAAGTCTCTAGGAATATTGGACAAAATGACAACATGATGAATCTGATAAGTGCAAAACAGCACTGCTGCCTCCTTGATCACCATGAAGAGGAAGCACTTCACATTCCACCTTAATACTTGGACAGTCTTTTATTATGCATACATGGACAAGGCATGACATTTTGAGATCTATTTTCCATATGTGTGCACTGGGAGGTGTTCCTGCCAACTCATAAAACAGGGTGATGTGTAGGAGAGTTACACAGAAAGGACTCCACTCCAGAATATAACAGAGTAGCATAGAGTGGACTCCAGTACAGAAATTATCACCTAAACCCCCTAGAACCAGCTTAGGTAGTCAAAACTTAGAAAATTAAATTATGAACAGTGAAGAGATCTGAAGAAAATTTATGATTAACTTCTCTTTAAAGAACTTGAAGAAAATGATCCAAAGCAAAGACTCATTTGAAAACTATTGCTGTCTCAAGTAGCTGAATGTTCAAGAGAGATGCAGTTTTTGTTGCCACTCATCTCACTTGTCAAAAGCAGGACGCTCTTCGTAAATGCAACCTGCAGAGGAGGCTTTCTTCATCCAGAAACAAGTGCTACACAGCTGTTTCTCAAGTATCAGCCGTCTTTGAGGGTCCCCACCTACCCGTGACGTGTCTCTCATCTGCCTCTTTTGCATTTGACATCTTAATGGAGGATAAAGAGATGCGATGTTAAATGTGTGGGTGTGCGCGAAGACTTTAAAACAAAAAAAAAAAAAGTAAATTTGACTAAATTGAAGCTGCAACTGTTTATTGTTATTTGAATGGTACCTGGAGAAATAGGGAAAGAAATTGTTTACTATGTCTTCAGGGCGTACAAAAACAGCTAACTGGATGAAGTTGAAAAAAAGATTAATTAGGGTATCATGAAAAATGCTGCAATAAAGATCTATTAGTCTGTGCAAATGGAAAGAGTCCTGCACCTAAGGCATTTTAAATCTAGTTTAGACTAAGTCCTATAAAAATAAATTATATAGAAAAATCCTAAGGGATACACTAATAATTTGCAATTACTACAACTCTTCTGTTCAATAATTTCTTTGACTCCTTGATATTGAAATGGTTGGAAATCCATCCACCAAGGCAAAAGTCCAGTAGAGACTGTGGTTTCAGAACAAATGTAACTCTTTTGCCTTGCATTCTTTTCCTTTTAGATAAACCTTTTTTCAGAGGTTTTTTTTTAGTACTCTAAAAGGTGAGATCTTGCAGAAAAATAAACTTTAACAACAAAATTAGAACTACACACAAAACCAACATGAACACACCCAGAAGCTGGTAAAGCTACCGAAAATTTTGCAAGAAAAGTTCCTTATTAAGAGGATAAGTTAGGCTTACGTTTTTGACATTTCTAAATCATAGGGTTAAGTGACACATGGAGGAATGAAGTTGTATGTATGGTATAATAGACTATTTTCAATAACAAAACTCTGAGCTAAAGGAGAAAGTATTAATCTTTGGCATTATTACAGCTAATATCAGTAATAACCAGATGCATTTTGATGTAAATTTTCATCCATTTTGCATACATGAGAGTTTATAAACAAATTAAAGCTTCTTTACTTTTTATATACTATTTTAATTTTATTTTTTATTTTAAAATTCTGATTAACTGTGTTCATTTCAAAACAGAAATATCTGAACCTATTGAGTCTTCAGAAATGTATACAAACATTTTGGTTGGGCTGTTTCTTTTTAAGGGAATCTGATGTATGAGAGAAATATATATCTGGTTACAATATTTTCAGGTTCCTCTGGTTAATTTTGAATACAATTTTGATTGCTTAGGGAAAAACTCATGACACAAGTCAAAGGATAATTCATTTTTGCTCTTATTTTGTAATTCTTTGACCACTGAAAGGCCTACACTGGAAATTTCGTTTCACAGCTCTAGTCTTTTGACTCAGTCTATTACACAGTTTTGTCGCAAGATTGTCTTCCAAAGTGGTGTTGAATCACTGTTTTGTGTAGAAAAATTCAATTACTACTTCAAATTATTGACAACTCTTCTTNTTTTTTTTTTTTTCATTGGATGTAAAATCTCAAGCCTGCACTTGTGTAAGATAATTAAATGAAAAATATGACAAAACATGCAAGCATTAAGGAGGCCATTCCATGGTACTAAACATTTTTTGAAGAAAAATATTTGGAAGTTAAATTTGGAAGTCGTGAGATTTGAAGCAAGTAATTTTGTTAGACAATATATTAGTCAATGTATTTGATTTGGAGCTGACAACTTTTCCTGACATCTTAGCCACAGAGGAAGTTCTGAAGATGTGAATGGGCTTACCTGTTAATTAGGATAACAGAAATAACCACTCCATCCCTCCTGTTCTGATTAGATGGCCAGATGTCAATCCAGTCTGGAAGATTTGCATATTCTGGATTTTCTGTTTTATTTTTCTGTAGGTACACATACACTATTATTAGTGACTATTCTGGACTTGTTCCCAGTTTATTTCTCTAAGTTTTACTCTGACCTCATTTACACACATTTTGTTGCAAAAACAGTGGCACAAGATGTGTATTTAAACAATAGCTGCTTGTTCTATCTTGTGCTTAGCAAAGAAACCCCTTATTAAAGTCAGAACATACGTGTGAAATTATAACATTTTTGCTGAAAGGAACTTAAAGTTGAGAATTTGAATTATATGTTTTCAGTCCTTATGGTCATATCTAGGAAGTTTTGATTAATTTTGTGTCTTATGTAGATTATTGCAAACAAAACGTTTAACCATTAATTAAATAGGAAGCACAAGACGAAAAACAGGGATGCATTTAAAAGCACCTGATGAAAATGTCATGTATGCATGTGTTGCACCCTGGAGTTACATGCAGTGACAGAAATATGAAGTGTTCCTGGTGGCATGGCCAAAATGAAGCCAGAACATGACTTCACATTCAGGAGTGTGAAAGAGCAGTGGCCCAGCCCTCAAACTCAATCCCCAGCCTTCTTTTATCTCCAGTGGACAAAGCTTGCTAATATTCAATGCTCCATTCTTAAAGTGAAGTAGCCTCTACTCATGGGACCTTTAGGGAAAAGTGGAAACTCTTGAGCTCTCCTTGAGCTGATGCGATTCTCTCTGATCCTCTAGCAAGATCTGAGCTTCACTAGGAAAAGCCTCATCCTGACTTTGTTGAAAAAGAAAATAAAAGCAGAATAGTGTGAACTGTAGGAATATTTTGGTCACAAAACTGATTGGCAATGTGAGATTCAGAAAGCCACATGGAGATTATTGTTGTGGAAATTTTGCTTTTTCTCAGGTCATGCATTCACCCTGTCAATAGCTCTCCTTAGTAACTCTGTAGGCCTGATTTTCATTTATCCACAATCTTTCCTTTTACTTTAGAGCCTCCTATACCAAGAATATAGCTGGCTCTAGGCCTCCTTTTCAACACCAAAAATCATGTCAAATGACTGAACTCTGAGGGGGCCTCATGGCCATTTTTTACATGTTACATGAGTCTTGGATACAAAGACCTGTTAAGGATTTAACTATAGGCCACCACTTGTAGTCCTCTTCTTGGTAGGAAATAAGGCAGCAGAAATGAAAGTTTTTAAGGGATAAATATGCTATGATAAAGGCATAAGCCTATTTTGAACCAATCACTTTGTGGCTGTGTGAAGCACAGCAGCCATACACTGTACTATGCTGCTGTCTGTCACTAACAGTAGTGGGAGAATCGATCTTCATATCTAGTCTGTGAGATTAAAACATAATAATAAAGCTCTAGGCAGGTTAATAGTATAACATTGGAGTCATGAATATGTACGATTTTCAAGCCATGATGAGCCTTCTTAAGATTATCTAAACTGTTGTCAGGATAGAGTTTCTGATACCTGACTCTGCAGTCCTTAGACAAACAATGAACAGTTCTCAACAAATCTCCTTAAATGGAATAAGAGCATCCATAACATAATACCAAGTTGAAAGTCGTTCATTGCTCTCTTCTGTCCTAGTATTGCTTAGTTGAGTTTAAATCAATATTTTTTTAAAAAGTGCAAATTCAAGGATAAACATCTGAATAAAATTAATTGATGATGTCTTCCAGGTATTTAATCTTTTACTATAATCTAAAAAGATTTACTTTAATATTCAAACCTCAGAAAAGATAACATCATTAAGATCTCCTTTACAAGCTTTACTATCTGACTTTACTTTTGTAAAATTTTTTTTGTGCTTTCAGAGTGGTCTCTTTTCCATAGTCTGTGAATTTGGTGCCATTTTATGTAAAAAACAGAGTTTTGTTTTTGCTATTGAATTTGTATGAGCATAAAGACCACAAATTTCCTGTAAATTGGTAGAAATAATGGTAAGTCAATAGTATTTCCCTGAATTTCTTCAAATTGAGAACAGTAGAAAAGGTTTCTTTTTTATGTTAAATTAAATGTTATAATAAATATCAGTCATCTAATTATATTAACATTGTAAGTAAAGCTGTTAAAATAATCTTTGTTTTTGAATAAGGTGTTTTATTAACTTACATCCTAAATGCTTCTTATAAAATGAGACTGTATTTATTTACATGAAACAGTTGTAAAAATGATCTGACTATGTGCTCTTATGTAAAGATTTCAAAATTTACCTGATATCTTCTTACTCAGTCAATTTTAAATAATTTTCTCTCTTCTTATGTGAGTAAAGAGTTCATACCAAAAGCTTCATTTTAAAAGTTTCAGGATCCAAAAAAGATATTTGTTCTGGTTGCACTGACAGTTTTCTTATTACTCTTGAGGAAAGAAATGTAGAGACACTGACTCCTGGAGTTCAGCAGTTTCCCTGCTAAGCAGTTTCCGTGCTTATAACTCAGCATGGAGTTTGATCTTGCATATTTTCATGTGAAAAGAATGGTAACTCTGGCAAAGCTCATGGTAATACAAACCACTTTTGATATGTGTAAAGTGCAGGACATGATCCCAAGGGAGTCACAGTGGGCAATGACACAACAAATCCTTGTCTTAGCAGAAGGCTTTGTCAGCAAAAAAGCTCCAATGCACCATGCTCCACACACGGAAGGCGCACACTTTTTCCTATAGTCAGGATTAAGCATAGAAAACAGTGCAATTCTAGGAGGTTGCCTCTGATAAAATATATTAATCAAACCATGATTTTTTTCCTCCTTTTAAGAAAATAGTATATTTCTACCAGTTACTTTTTTTGCTTTATATAGAAGATGCCAGGAAATATTTGTTTTAGAGATCGTTCCAACTGTCTCTAAACTTAGTACTTATCATCAAAGATAGAATTTTTTAAAAATGTCTAATTAGGTGGCCACATGAAGCTCCTTCAAGATTTTCAGTATAGCATTTGCTCTTCAATTATCACCCTTAGCTAGTTCTTTCTTAAGTGAGAATTCACTGCATTTGTAATGTTTCCAATGAGAAGTAATTCTGAGTATGAGCAATTACACTCCAGTTTGTCATTGACTGCAATGCATATAGGAACATGAACTGTCTGATTAGCCTTTTCTTCATCATTGTCAGTACTAGGTATAAAAAAATATTCTGATTTACACCTCTCCCCCAAATATAAGAAAAAAAAAATTTTTCTAAAAATATAAGTTTCTTAGAAACATTTTCTGCTTGAAGAAATTGTTCCTGTCTATATTTTTCTGTTCATCACAAATATCTCTCTTAGCTTTACTAAGTACTGCTGTCAAGAGTACCTTGCTGGAAGGAGAACAATAGACAAATAACCTGACAGTGTGAAATCTATAAAAAATACAGATGTACGAATTTTTAAACAAGTTTTTAAACAAAATTTTAAGATGCACACAAAATTGATATATTTTATTTTGTTCAGTTTTGCTTTAGTTTTGAAGGGTCTTGGGTTAGAAAATAATAAGATAATTTTCTTTTTGTCTCTAGCTGCTCCTAGACAATGCATTGAGCTGCATTTTGATGAAAAATATTCCATAGAGCCTTCTTGGGAGTGTAAATTTGACCACATTGAAGTACGAGATGGACCTTTTGGCTTTTCCCCAATCCTTGGACGTTTCTGTGGACAGCAAAATCCACCTATGATAAAATCCAGTGGTAGATTCCTGTGGATTAAATTTTTTGCTGATGCTGAACTGGAATCTATTGGGTTTTCTGCTCGGTATAATTTTACACCTGGTAAGTACAAGCTATCACATTTTTAATAGTAAAAGGTTATCATTGTAACTTTTCTAATGATGTATAATCCTGCTAAAGAGTAATATCTTTAGCTGGGACTTAGTTTATTGTCAAGGAAAGTATTAATAGATAGGAAATTGATAAAAGTCATATGTATCTTTTGTGTAACAAGTAAGGCTCATTCAAAGGAAAGATTTTCAGATTCTGCAGTTTTTAAAAGTATTATTTTCAAGTGAGTGCTATTACAGAAGGTCATTCAAAATGTTTCATGGGAAGTGTAATGTTTTATGCTTGGCTGTTACACTGTACAGCTTTTCTTTCAAAAAGATCATTGATAAAGTATTCTAATAAAAAAATGCAATTATCTCAGAAAATTCCATCATTGCTTTTCTACTTCAGCAATCATTTCCCTAGCTGAGGAGTGGAATTGTTCTCCTTCCTCAATAAAGAAAACTATTACAAGTTTTACCAGAGGATGTGTGAAGTTCAAATTGTAACACATATTAAATATTTTTCTAAAAAGAATGTAAATCTTAATTGCAATTGTACAAGTATTTCTTGTTACTGTTTAATTCATTAAAGTAAAATCATAGCCATACTTTCCATCAACTCCCCTGCTCCCTCACTTATTAAGAAAAGATTGCTGATTTTAAATTTGTTCTTTGGCTGCATCTCCACTTTACTGCACTGCAACTGCACTGCTGGATGTGACGTAGATCTGTGACTTCTTATGTATTGAGTGATGAGTCATGCTTTAATATAGCTCACTCTAAAGCACTGTAATTATTATCTAATTTTGCAATTATGTCACTATTTTTTTCAGCTAAATTGTTGTATTAGGTTGAACAATGTTCTCTAGCATACTGCTTAAAATTAGCAGAACAAAAATTCTTCCTTAATCATTTCAGTAGCATCATAGAAGATGGCAGGTCTACATGTTCTATGTTGTTCTTCTTTCTGATTTTCTTTCAATAATTCAAGGAAAATACTTATAAAACTAACCAGCATAGTTAAGTTTTCTTTCAAGTCAAGGTTACTGTTTTGCAGTGGCTAAACGTAAATAGAAGGCTCAAACAGAACAGAAGAGAGAAGTTCTGTAACAAATTATCTGGTAGCCAGATATATGTATCTGTTGTAAATTCAAAGACAATGAACAAAATTTTGTTATAACCATGCATATACACTCTGAAACGTGAGTTAAATTTTTATCTCTCATTTACCATGGGTCTGCAGGGTTTTGCCATTTCCTCACCCTGTGCCATAAATTCTTTGCTTTAGATTTGTTTACCTTTTTTTTCCTAGTTGCATTATAGTTGAAAAGATATTCATAGCGTAATCTACAACTTAATCTAAAAAAAAACTCTCAAGTAAAAGACAGTTTCATGGATCATGTTTTACCCTCATTCCTTTTCTACTGATGTAAGGAGAATTTCTACATAAAGATCAATGCCGGTGAAATTGGTAAAGCAGCATAAATTATTCTAGACTTCAGATGGAATAGCTATATCTTTTTTCTTCCTTGTTTAATTCTTTTCTTCCCCTTCATACGTTTCAATGGAAGCTTTGCAAGTAGTAGGAAGTCTCTAGGAATATTGGACAAAATGACAACATGATGAATCTGATAAGTGCAAAACAGCACTGCTGCCTCCTTGATCACCATGAAGAGGAAGCACTTCACATTCCACCTTATTACTTGGACAGTCTTTTATTATGCATACATGGACAAGGCATGACATTTTGAGATCTATTGTCCATATGTGTGCACTGGGAGGTGTTCCTGCCAACTCATAAAACAGGGTGATGTGTAGGAGAGTTACACAGAAAGGACTCCACTCCAGAATATAACAGAGTAGCATAGAGTGGACTCCAGTACAGAAATTATCACCTAAACCCCCTAGAACCAGCTTAGGTAGTCAAAACTTAGAAAATTAAATTATGAACAGTGAAGAGATCTGAAGAAAATTTATGATTAACTTCTCTTTAAAGAACTTGAAGAAAATGATCCAAAGCAAAGACTCATTTGAAAACTATTGCTGTCTCAAGTAGCTGAATGTTCAAGAGAGATGCAGTTTTTGTTGCCACTCATCTCACTTGTCAAAAGCAGGACGCTCTTCGTAAATGCAACCTGCAGAGGAGGCTTTCTTCATCCAGAAACAAGTGCTACACAGCTATTTCTCAAGTATCAGCCGTCTTTGAGGGTCCCCACCTACCCGTGACGTGTCTCTCATCTGCCTCTTTTGCATTTGACATCTTAATGGAGGATAAAGAGATGCGATGTTAAATGTGTGGGTGTGCGCGAAGACTTTAAAACAAAAAAAAAAAAAGTAAATTTGACTAAATTGAAGCTGCAACTGTTTATTGTTATTTGAATGGTACCTGGAGAAATAGGGAAAGAAATTGTTTACTATGTCTTCAGGGCGTACAAAAACAGCTAACTGGATGAAGTTGAAAAAAAGATTAATTAGGGTATCATGAAAAATGCTGCAATAAAGATCTATTAGTCTGTGCAAATGGAAAGAGTCCTGCACCTAAGGCATTTTAAATCTAGTTTAGACTAAGTCCTATAAAAATAAATTATATAGAAAAATCCTAAGGGATACACTAATAATTTGCAATTACTACAACTCTTCTGTTCAATAATTTCTTTGACTCCTTGATATTGAAATGGTTGGAAATCCATCCACCAAGGCAAAAGTCCAGTAGAGACTGTGGTTTCAGAACAAATGTAACTCTTTTGCCTTGCATTCTTTTCCTTTTAGATAAACCTTTTTTCAGAGGTTTTTTTTTAGTACTCTAAAAGGTGAGATCTTGCAGAAAAATAAACTTTAACAACAAAATTAGAACTACACACAAAACCAACATGAACACACCCAGAAGCTGGTAAAGCTACCGAAAATTTTGCAAGAAAAGTTCCTTATTAAGAGGATAAGTTAGGCTTACGTTTTTGACATTTCTAAATCATAGGGTTAAGTGACACATGGAGGAATGAAGTTGTATGTATGGTATAATAGACTATTTTCAATAACAAAACTCTGAGCTAAAGGAGAAAGTATTAATCTTTGGCATTATTACAGCTAATATCAGTAATAACCAGATGCATTTTGATGTAAATTTTCATCCATTTTGCATACATGAGAGTTTATAAACAAATTAAAGCTTCTTTACTTTTTATATACTATTTTAATTTTATTTTTTATTTTAAAATTCTGATTAACTGTGTTCATTTCAAAACAGAAATATCTGAACCTATTGAGTCTTCAGAAATGTATACAAACATTTTGGTTGGGCTGTTTCTTTTTAAGGGAATCTGATGTATGAGAGAAATATATATCTGGTTACAATATTTTCAGGTTCCTCTGGTTAATTTTGAATACAATTTTGATTGCTTAGGGAAAAACTCATGACACAAGTCAAAGGATAATTCATTTTTGCTCTTATTTTGTAATTCTTTGACCACTGAAAGGCCTACACTGGAAATTTCGTTTCACAGCTCTAGTCTTTTGACTCAGTTTCTTAAAAAGTTTTGTCGCAAGATTGTCTTCCAAAGTGGTGTTGAATCACTGTTTTGTGTAGAAAAATTCAATTACTACTTCAAATTATTGACAACTCTTCTTTAAAAAGAGTATTTTATTTTTTAGTACAGACAAGGATTCAGGCAGAGAGAGGCTGTGTTTATCTGAGCTTTCTTGCTCTGCTTGAATAATCAGATTTCTGTTTATCCTGGTCCCTGATTTTGCAGGACAGTGGCTTAAGATAGCACATCATTACTTTCAGTTCCTTCACTTAGTAGAAGCCATCTGTGTTTTTATTTAGCCTCATTAATATAAACGTCAGTCAGTAATGTTTTCTATTCAACTGCCTGATAATGGAAAGAGAAAAAAAGATTTATATTCTTGTATCCCAAAAAGTGGAATATGAAATACTTTCTAACCGGAGTAACAGTACTTTTACATTCCCATTACAGTGAATATCAGAGTAATAAAATAATTGCATCACCTATCTTGAGGAAAAAAATAAAAAAATAACCCAAATTCTTCTTTGTTGGGGAATTTGCATATTTTAGAACTCATGAAAAATCTAATGTGAATTTATTAAGTTCAATCACAATTCTAAAAATTTATATTAAATATTATCAAATAATTTTGTCATCTAATGTCCATGTTCTGCCTTGAATTTATTTAAGCAAGGTATATTTCCCAGATGTCTGGGATAGCTGAATATCCATGTGTTTACTTCTAATTTAGTATCAGCAATGACAATCACTTTTTAGCAACTTGAAATTCAGTTGTTTTGAGAGCCAACAAACAATGCCATAGCCATTCAACTTTGAACAAGACAATGTTTTTCCTTTGGGATCACAGCTGGTTTGGAAGTATGAGCAATTACTCATTACGACTTCATTTAAATTTTTGAAGCAGAACCACGTGATGTCAAAAAACCCCAGAAAGTGTGAATCTGCTTTATTTATTGAGATATAACCCCTCTAGCACTTCAAATTGCTATAAGCAGCTTCCTGGAGTTCTGAACTTTTATTGTGTTCATACAAGTACACTTCATAAAATTCAGGCACTTCATTGCTGTTTACAAGGCATTTGGGCATCTGGTCTTGGGAGAGGAAAGGAATTTCTCTCAAGTAGGATGATACATTACATTGAAAATCGTGATCATGGATTTATATTCAATTTCAAATGAAAAATAATTCCTTATGTGGAGCAAATGAGTATTTAAAAGGTCTCATGGGGTTCTCAGATCCTATATTATGTCTTGTCATCCCATAGTTATATGTTTCTTTAAACAATACTCAAAAGGCAAATACAGAACTTCCTCGTTTAGAAATCCCTACGTGGTGGAAGTATCATATTACCAACAGAAGGAAGTTGCACACTTAAGTTCCTATTCCATTAAACTTTGATGTAAAAACAAGAGCAAAAGAAATACAAGATACAGTTTTAAGTATTTCTGGCACTGGAGTAAAGAAAAATGACAACTTAACTAGGAAT